GTTTAGCTGCTTGTTTCTTGAATTTGTCAATAATGGCATGTTGTTTGTGAAGGTACTCTCCAAGTCAATTTTTCTCATCTTGCCCCTACAATCTTTGCCAGCTCGAAAAGTCGACTTTTGGTGTGCACAGTGTAAATCCCAGTCCATCCTGAGTATTCTTTGACCATAGATGGACTTCTGAGTTTTTCATCTCTCGTATTATAACCCCTTTGTCCATTAATACAGAATATTTACGTTTAACGAACACGTTTTTGGTGGATCGACACCTATTTTGAATGATGCACGTGATAAAAATAATAAAATAAAAGAAGACAAAAATGAAAGGGGGAAAAAGTTAGTGAGATAAATATAATAATAAAAAATTATAATGAAAATAAAAAGTCCTACCCCACATGCTTATTATTCATACCCGGGTATGATCTCTATCCCATAAGTTAATTTTGAACAAGTCCTAACCGCATAAACTTCTAGTTCACATGCTTTGAACATGAAATAAAGTATGAAAAAATATCGAAACAACCTAGGGTTTGCAATGAGATTTTGGGCTGGCCTATAACTCCTTGTAGTCTCCTGGTTTAGGTTATAAAAAGGTACTCGAGTTCTCCTTGCTGGTGCCCCCTTGGGCTTGCCAGACCCTTAGTCCTAAGCCCATTACAAGCTTATGTGGACTAAGTTAAACTCGAGATGATACATTCTCTTATGTCTGTGCGGTGAATAAATTCACACGAAGACATAAGATATATGTATCCCGAAGGTTACTTGCTAGCCTGTGCGGAGAATAAATTCTCACGAATGCGTCGCTTTCATCCCACTTAAAAAGGGTTCGGAGCTCGGGTATAGAGCCAGAGATAGAAACTTTTCAAAAATCTGAAATCATTGGAAAAAAATGTCAATATAACTATTTATTTAAAAAATAATCAAAGGTAAATAATTTGAATCGAATAAATAAATTAAAATTAAAATTTACTATTTTCGCATAAAAAGACAACCGAAAATTAATTCTGACCTGACTCACTTACCTGTCCCAGCTGAGTCGTCAAGCTATCAGAATCGTCTTTCGGTTGGACTCGGAATTGGGCTTCGACTTAAATAAAATGTGTTAAAGCCACCACCGATCATTTAAAAACAATTTTAGGTTGATCGAATACCGTCTTACCTGATCTACGTTTTACCAGAAATGTGTCGTTCGGAGTCGGTTACATCAATGAGGATTAACACCCTTGAACTGCCCTTTCGATACCATTTAATTTATCGGTTGTCTTAATTACAAAAATTAAAAATTTAAATTTAAATTTAAAATCCCAATTTGAATTACTAATCTTTGATTGGTTGAAAGTATTCCTAAAAAAATCAAGATAAATATTAAATGGTGTAATATGTAAATATAAAAATAAAAATAAAAATAAATAGAATTAAGAATATTAAAAAAACCTTAGGGTCCCTAGGCCCTTATGTTGCCGCCTCTCTATAAACAATGGAATTCACTTTTATATATGCTTGAATGTGGTCCCATGGAAATCATGTCAAAAACCAACCATTTATGCGTAGCTGTAGTGTGAACATAGCCCAGTGTTGTTCATTTATTCCAACTTTTGAAAAGTGAACATTATCCCTACTTTCGCTATCTTCTGGTTCCTCGTTTCCACGAAATCATCCTCCACCAAATCCTCATCAGGTCCAAGAGCCGCCTGGTGGAAAGCCAGGCAAATCAAACGAATTCGAAGCCCCTTTTCCGAGAAAGGTTCATACAATGAATGGAATTACATCAAGCTTCGGATTTGGTTGCTCACATGGTACCACAAGGTTATTTTCATCGATTCAGATTTCCTGGTTTTCAAAAACATGGATAGCCTCTTCCTCGTAAATATCCAGCACTCTGCCCAGCTTCTCCTCGCCCTCCTTAACGCTTCCTCAAGGTTCTTATTCGAGAATCTAGGCTTCGACGAAGTGACCGACGCGGGAACGAGCCATGACGGGGATTGAGACGGCACGTTTTTTTTGTTTGGTGAAAGAAGGATCGGGCATGTGCGAAATGCCTCGGCGGTTAGGTTCGGTAATGACTACACAACAGGCGCCGGCTTCCTCGCAAGTTTGGCTGGTTGAGGGCGAGACTTCGACAATGGCGCCGCCACGGAGCATTTGAGCAATCCCTGATTTGATAGAGAATGGGTTTTCTTGGTGCCAATGATAGTCGTGTTGTTGTAGCGTGTTACGGTTCCGTCTTCTGCCATGGCTGACAAATGCTTGTGGATATGCTTCAATGGAAGTAACGGAGGCGAAAATTTCTTTCGGTTTCCTTTTGTTTTAGGGCTCCGTAAGTTGATCGGAGGATCGGAACTTGATGAGAAATTAAAGAGAGTATGGACTGTTGGTGTTTGGTTAATTCGAGAAGTTTCGATGAAGATCCATAAGTGTGACCCCAAGAACCCAGACAGCTTGTTTATAACTTTGCCCCTTGCAAAGGTTCACCCCATATTGCAAATGGCCACCGACATAAGCTATACTAGCAGCCATCACAATCCCTTTCGCAACGAAAATGAGCCAATTCCCCGTAGATAATTCTCTCCTCTCTTGCCTTGCTTCTGCAGCAATTTATAGTCTAGGAATCCTTGTTTTTTGGTTCGGTTTTAGTGTTTTGTTGGGATTGAAATGCTACGTGATTTGTCTGTTTAGTTATGATCTTCACGAAACCCATGATACGCCGGATGATTCAGAGCGTGGGTTGGTTGCAGCTACCGTGAGGAGTTTGGCCGGTGGTTCATCCCTTATATGTTGGTTGTACGGCGTTGAAGGGCAGAAGGAAGAAGAACCAAACTCACCTAGTGCTGCACACGTGCTGGGCTGGGTCATTGGGCCAGTAGAGTTACGGGTTGGGCCTGACAAAAACCAAAACAAAAACATTACTATAATAATGTGTAATGTAACATGTAATAATAATAATAATAATAAAAACGTTATAATATTATATAATGGTTGGACGAAAATGAGTGTCGACATAAATTTGTGCTATGTAAGTTTGTTATTACATCATCACTTATAATGGAAAAAGTATTATCTAATCTTATTCAAACACATTTGGTAATCAAATCCAGCAGCTTCAATTCAATCTTCTGTTAATGTCCAAATTCTCTGCAATTTCTTTCCCTTCAAATAAAATTCTTGATAAGTCATCGTACTGAAAACAATCATGTGTGTGTGATTGTGTGTGTATTATGTATACTGAAAAGGAAAGATAAACTATCAAACTTTGCTATTTCTTTAGGTGTACAAGTCTAAGCCATAGTTCTTCCTTGTAAACTGATTCAAGGCGCTGATAAGTTGTTGCATACAAGTTAAAATATTATGCATGCATATGCAACAAAATCATACTGTTAAATAAGTCATATGTTCCGTCTATTAACACAAATGGATCAAAATCTCAGTGAAAACTGGCCACCATATTAGTTTCTGCTAACGATTGCTCATCAGTTTTGATTCTTAGTTTGGAGCAGATATCAGTGATAAAACCATCAGATGTTTTCGGATATTCAGATCCCAACAAAGACCCTTTTTCAGGGATTGGAGGACAATCCCAGAGGTGTAAACGTTTCAAACTTTCATCCTCCGATGTGGGAAATAGAGGGGATTTATTCTCGACATCAAAAGACTCGTCTATAAGCTGATGATCGTGTATGATGATATCACAGGGTGTTGAAGGTGATGTGAAAAATGAGCCAAATGACGAACTGGAAGCTCTTGATGAATCTGATGATGACGGAGATGATGTTGTTGAATTACCAAATCCTTTGATTTCTTTTGATGTTTTAAGGGCCTTTAATCTTGATTGTCTTAATGTTTCGCCTCCTTGTAGAAGTTCCACGACTTTATCTGATCTTTTCTGCATGTTTAGACCCCAATCCACCCTAACAATGAAACAATAATATGCGCATTAAACGAGGCAAATATGTAATTGATTTCATACCCAAACTATGACTTTCATTCTAAATTAGTCCTAAAACTTTTGAACATTATAATTCCATCCCTAAACTATGACCCTCTTTCTAAATTGGTTCCCAAACTTTTGAATTTTCCAATTTCAACTCCAAATTCATCCAAATATGTAATTAATTTCAACCATAGTTTAACCTAAATTTTGTTTTTTCAAACGTTGAATAATATAACTTGGTCTTATGATTTTACTAACAAGGGACGTGATTAGTACATACGTATAGTTTGGGATAAAATTGGAATGTTCAAAAAGTTTGGGGACCAATTTAGAATGAATGTACTATTTTGAGGATGAAATTGAAATGTACAAAAGTATGAGGACTAATTTAGAATGGAAGTCATAGTTTAGGGATGAAATTGAAATATTTAAAAGTTTAGGGATCATTTTAAAATAAAGATCATACTTTAAGGACATGTAATGCAATTAAATCTTAAATAAATATACAAGTTTATGATTTTTAATAAATATATAAATTATTCATAATCTCCTCAAATTCATAAATCAAATATAATTATATCTAAGAAAACTTGAACTATAATCTTCATAAGAATCAATATATTATTTTGGTTAATCTATTGATCAATTAATTCGAATCAGATATTATATATATCCATTATGAGGATTATCTTCTCAACTTAATTTATTCCATTCACAATAAGAATTTGAATCTCTGACGTTGTTTAAGGAATTTAGTGTCCAATTTCACTAGACTAACCAAATGCTAATAAAAATATCAAAATAACTTTGAGTTTTTAATATATTAGCTATCAATAAATTACATTAGGGTGACTAAATACGTAGTTTTCCTTCTAAATTAAAGCAAAGAAACAAGGATTACGAACCCATTGTCATCAACATGTGAAAATGTTGGAAGCTCTTCAATAACCTCATAATCACATATGAATTCATCAACAAAAGTTGTAGGGCCATGAGTCAGTAAGAATTTAAGGAGTATCAATGTTTTGTAAGATTGTCTCCAATGCGACCCAACCTATACCATATCATTTATCATGTCAATTACATTGTCCAATAAACAAAAGGGTAAATTATGTGCTTAGTACTTAAACTATTAGTTGTGATCTATTTTTGTACCTAACCTTTTGATTTTTTTAAAATCATACCTAACGTTTAGTTTTTGTTTTGTTTTAGTACCTCACCTTTAAAAACTTAACGGTTGATTTGCACGTGGCACCTTTTTTATGGGTAAACTGCATCATTCATCACTCAACTATCTTTTTGCTCCTATTTTGGTCACTAAAGTTTAAATTCTTTAATTTAATTACTTAACTTTCAAATTACTCCTAATTTAATCTTTCTAACTTTCAAATTTATTTTTTATTTTTAATTATATTAATAAAATAATAAAAAATGTCATGTTACAAAAATCATTAATAAAATAAATTAGAGCGACTAAAATAGGAGTAATTTGAAAGTTGAGTAGTTAAATTGAAATTTTTTAAACTTTAGTACCAAAATATGAGTGAAAAGATAGTTGAATGATGTAATTCACCCATAAAAGCAGTGTCGTTAAGTTTTTAATAGGAATGTATTAAAATGAAACAAAAACTAAGCGTTATGTATGTTTTGAAAAAATTTAAAAGTTTAGGTATTAAAACGAATCAAAACTGATAGTTTATGTACTAAATACGTAATTTACCGTAAACAAAAAGTTTTTGGATTCATCACCTTTTGTGCATGATATGAACAATCCTCCAATAATCATTCATGTTAAATGATGCCTCTGATATCTTTGTCATTGTTCTAGCATCTGGTCCCCATGGATCATCGTTTGTTGCATCTTCAGTCAATCTTCATTACCAATGTTCACAAAATCGACAGCCATTTTATTTATTTTTCACTAGATTAATGATCAGAAGAAGAAAAAACACATATACAGGGACAGATGCGTGGTGGTTTATGTTAGAAGTGCGAACTTAGGAAATTATATTAGAAATTTAAGGGGTGCGAAATTAAATAATCGATATTGAATACAAAAGAATACCTAAACAATGTGAGAATTTGAAATTTTAGATGCGATCGCACTCCAACACCCTCTCGATCCATCCCCATACATATATAAGACTTACAATTCTGCAGCAGTAACATCGGTGAAGGCAATTCTTGCGTTTCTGTATTTTTCTTGAAGGAAACAAGAAGCTTGTTTCTTTATCTTGTTTAGCAGCAAGGTCCCCATTAATAGAAGCTTGTTTTTGAGCTCTTTTAATCTGAACTTTAATAAATTAAAAGGTTGTGATGAAGAATTTTATCGATTCTTATAAGAAGAAACTTGTGTAGACTTGCTTTTTTTTGTATGGATAGGCATGGTTTTAGTTCAAAATTTTTACGGAAATTGCTCAACACTTGTATGGAGAGATGTAAATCACTTAATACTGATTTAGAATTAAAAATGCGGTCGATAACCAACAAATAGTTTCAAAGGGAAAATGGATTTTGAATTCATTGAGTACCCTTAGTTAATAGTCAAAATAGATTTGAATTCGATCAGTTGCATCTGTAAGGTGTATATGTGCATCGTTATTAATAAGTTAAAAATTTTATGAACAATATTATATTATAATCATTCCAGATTATACAAATTCTAAACAATTTAGAAATTATTAACTATATATCTCAAATAAAAGAGATGTGTGATTCAGTGGCTGCTTGTGATATAGTCCAGTATCTGATATAAAGCTTATTCCAGACTGGTTAGCCTAGGATGGCTCTTAAGGATTTGTTATGGTTAGCTCTTCGAGTTTTGAGGTGTGTTTCACATTCACTGCATCAGTTGTCGATGGAAACAAGATGGACGGAGTTTATATATTGATCATGAAATGTGGATTATGATTGTTATGTATAGGTCGACAAGGGGTATAAATATAGTCGCCTATTAATAAATTTGATCAGGACAAATCTTTCAGATTTGTATTTGTTCAAAAATAGATCTTAACCATTTAGCATAAAATACTTGTACCTTTGACATTCTTGATGTTCAAAATCGAGACCTCAAGAAATAATAATAATTTTTATTACCGAGATCGTAAAAAATATTTGTTTATTTAAATATAATAGAAGTAAACTCAAACAATAAAAAAGTCCAGAAATCATGGTCTAAACATGAAGAATATAAAGAAAATAAAGCCTAAACACACACACAAACACATTCAAAAGAAACAAATATCATTGTCTAAACATAAAAGAAAGAGATCCCTTCAAAGCTTCAATGTAACATCCAACTCTTCTTCAACCTCTGATGTACCATCTATTTGCCTCTCTATGATCGACTCCCTTCCATCACTTAGTACTCTTGCTTCCAACTGATGCAGAAAAGGCCTGGTAAAGGGCTCGTTGCGAGACTGTTGCACTGTCGTGGATGTCGCAAGGACTAGCCTTGGCGGTGACGGAATCGAGTCGTTCCTAATCCCCGTCGACCAGAACGAGACAGACCACGATCCGGCAGTCAACTGACGGTCTAAGTTGTGAGCATTGGCTCCAATGGAAAAAGGGTTTAGATTTACTTCTATTGGCGGCGTCGGAATCAACTTGTTGTTACCCGTCGATTGGAAGGACACATGCAATGGTCTAACAGGCGACTGCCGGTCTAAGTTGCGAACATTGGCTCCAATGGAACAAGGGTTTATATTTCTTTCCCCTGGCGGCACTGTAGAGGGAACACAACCGATCCGCTGCTGTCGGGTTGGCAGTGCAGCCGGTGGATGACGGTTCAACGACAAGTGGCTAAGAAAAAGCTGCCGTTTTGTCCGCGATTCGTCGAGAAAAAGATGAAGTTCGATGTGATCCAATAGAGCTTTTCGGCTCGTGAAAACACAATCACAAACTCGACAAGCAATAAGGTCTTCGTTGTCAACATGCATGTTTCCATACCTAAAAGCATCCATTTTTTTTCTCGAGAAAATTAACCAAGAACGATTCTGAGAAAATGAAATGAGCAATGATGGGTGGTGGTCTATATATAGGTAAAAACAAAATTTGGTTACCATTTTTCGCTTTTCTTTCATTCATGTAATTTACTGTCATTGATTTGGTAGTAAGTGAGAAGAAAACTTAAAATAGATAAAAGTTAATGAAGACCAAGATTTATTTTAAATTACAACGTTAATGATTAATAATCAATTAAGATGTTACTTGTTTTTCTCAAATACAAAAGGTTACTCTTTTGTAATATATATATATATATATATATATAATATGTTTGAACATTCTTATAGATTCTAACATTATAATATATTCGATCGAGTACTACAAAAGTTCATAACATCATGTTACAATTATGACTAACATTTAACTACATTTCTATATTACGTGTTTGTGTTCTATAGATTCGAACATTAATAAGTATCTATATATTTTTAAGACTAAAAGTGTTATTTAAATGAATAATTAAGAACACTAACAAGTGATCAGAGGAAGTGGCGTAACTTTCTTCCAAGGTATTGAACCAAGTTTAAACTTAAATTCGAACAAAATTATTTTCGTATTGTACAACAGATGAAGATAAAAAGAACTAATAACATCTGGTCATAGATTAAAATTTCCTATGAAAAGAATTCCACCACCCACGTATAAAATAGTTTTACTTTAATGGTTAAAGTTGTTAATCTTAGAGGTCACAGTTCAAGCACCAACAATTGCAAGAGTAATTAAGTGTTCATGTTAAATGGTTTAGAGTACTTAGAACAGATACTACTCTGTAATCACATTAACTTAATAAGAAAAATAGTTATTTATATTTTTATTGGAAAATAATTTTTTATTTAAATTGCTAAAAGAATTATTAAGTTTCCTAATACTCTATTTCACTAGCCATATATGAGTAATTAATATTCATGTGTATTATAAGATTTCTTTCCATTTTTAGGTCTAGAATATGATAACATATTAATGATTAATTAATTTGAACAATTTATAGAATTTGTTGCCTAATTAATAATTATTAGTTATTAAACTTCCTAGGTTTCTATAATTCATTACCAATATTTATCATAACATACAGCAAATTAAAAGATGTATTAATTAATTATTATTCATATATATACCTAATCTGTTGTAGGCACTAACAATTATTACTTTAAATACCGATAGATATACCCTTCGTGAATGCTCATATTTTTTAAGATCTTTTTGTATAATAATCAATTTTACTGAACCCTTTGATTTAAAAAAGGGTAAGTATACAGATGGTCCTTAACTACAGATACTATTTTATTGAGTTATTTATTATTAAAAGTTACATGTCGCCCGACTATTTATATGTTTTATGTCGGAACCGTCTTTCGGTTGGGTCCCAAATTGGGCTTCGACTTGGATTAAATGCTTTAGAGTCGCCACCGACCACTTTAAAATGAATTTAGGTGGGTCGGACACCATCTTACCTGATCTGCGTTTTACTAGAACGTGTCGAGTTCGGGAGTCGGTTACGGTAAGGAAGGATTAGCACCCTTGAACCGCCCTTTCGGTACCAATTAATTCGTCGGTCATCTTTAATTGCGAAAACTGAAAACTTAAATTAAAATTTAAATACCCGGTTCGAATTCTTACCTTTAATCATTGAGATTATTACTGAAAAAGAGATCGAAAATGTTAGAGGAAAAAATGATGATAACAACAAATAAACAAGAAATCAAAAATGAAGACAAAAAAACAAAAAATAATGAGAAATTAAATAAAAATAAGTTTAAAAAAATAAATAAAAATGGAACAAGTAAAAAATGATAAATAAAATTGAATAAAAAATAAATTAAAAAAAGAATAAAAAAAGATAATTTAAAGAAATAGTAAAGGAATAAAAAAATAGTTAAAGTTTTAAAAAAACATAAAAGAAAAACAAGAATGATAAAATAAAACTTAGAGGATTAATTTGAAACGAATGGGAATTAATGGGTTAAATCGACATTAAAAAATGATCTACAAAATAAAAATCAAAAGTGAGGGGCCAATTCACAAAAATGTAAAAATATGAACCATGATCAAATTGATTAGATTGAAAATTCTGAGGTCAAATTACAACTGGTGACCAGATTGAAATGCGATTCAAACTCTGAGGGACCTCAGAAGGAATTTAATTATCTTCTATTTAGAGTGGTCCCTCATATAAATGAGTTAAAACCCCCTTACTCACTCCATTCTTCACCATTTCCTCAGATATCTCCCCTCTCTCTAAGGCTTTCTCTCTCGCCTCTCTTGAGATCTCGCCTGTGTAAAACGGCCACCCAGCCGACCACCGCACCGGCCACCGTCGCGGTGGCGAAATATCTAAACCCCACAAAATGCTCTCCTCCGCGCCGTGAACCCAAAACCAACCTCTAAATCCCCAAAACACACCCCAGTAAGCGAAGATCTAAGACCAAACCTTCAGCCCTTCACCTTTTTGGCGACCTTCGTTTTTCTTGATGTGCTCCTAACGCGTATTGTTTTTGTTGTTTTTGTGTGTATGTTAGGTATTCGGCTATTGTGGTTTGGTTTGCTCGATTTTTGGTGTCTCATGTATTTTGTTGATGAGGCTTTGGTACTGTTTTTTGTTTGCTCTGTTGAACGATGGTTTTTTGTGGTGGTTGGTACTGTGATGGTGGTTGATGGTTCGAATCCTTTGTGGGTTCTATATGTTTATGCTTCGGTGATGTTCTGTTGTTGTTGGCTTGTGTTCTCCGATGGTTCACTTTTGTGTTTTTTTCCCCTCGTCCGGTTGTGGCCATCTTTTTTTATAGCTTGGCTCTAGCCGTTTCTAGCCCCGAGATGAATGGGTTTCCGAGATCTTCGGAACGTCGTGGGTTGTTGCTTGACCGAGTTCCCCGGGATGGTTCAGTCCGGGGATGTCGGTCGGAAACTGTTTCGTGCTTTGACCCTTGGTTGCCCCCTCGTGTGGCGCATGTGTTGTTTTTATTTTAGAGTTCCCAATACCCTAAATCTGACGGGCTGGATCAGGCCTACTGTTCTGGACCGAACTGTGACCGTATTGGACCCAAAGCAAATCTTGGACTTGGACCTTGCAAAAAACATAAATAATAATTATAAGAAATAAAATAAAATAATAAATAATAATACTATATTATATATATAAATGTTTTCAAAATCATATAATATATAAATTTCTGAAATGTTTTTTTAAAAAACTATTTATTATACGTATTTTCAAAAACGTTTTAAAAACTATATAATATATATATTTTCAAAAATGTCTTTAAAAACTATATATTATATATATTTTCAAAACGTTTTTTAAAAACTATATAATATATAAATGTTTTCAAAACTATATATTATATAAGTTTTCAAAATGTTTTTTAAAAACTATATATTATATATGTGTTTTTTTAAAAAAACTGTTTGCAAACTATTAATATATATATATATGTGTGTGTGTGTGTGTGTGTATAAAAATATGGATGAAAATGAGTGTCTACAGCTACCCCTCTTTGTCCTTTTTCATGGAACGAAAAATAGACAAAGATAAAAAGGGCACAACTTTTCGTTGGTGGAGTTGAAGAATAACTCCCAGTCGAATTGGGTTGCGGATGGCTCCTCCGTCGCGAAGTCGAGTCCATCTTGAAATGATATGGAATTGAAACCGTAGTTCAAAATTTGAATCGGGGTGCGGCTTCTTGTTGCCCAATTGTAGTCAACCTCGGTCTTCTCCTCGGTTTAAATACCTTGGTTAAAAAATTCGACTGGAAAGTAATTCTTTAATTCCACTGTTTGGTTGACAGCCCTTGAGCTTATGAAACCGAACTCAAAAAGTCTTCGTTGACAATAGCTTTTCTCGACTTAAGCTATGCTGCCGGAAAGTGGTTTTTTGTCACCATGGCATGGTTAATCCAGGTCTTCTTCTCGACTTGAAAACCTTGATTGCAGTCGGACAATAGCGTGATTGATGTGTCATCGAGCTGAATGGAATCGAGCTCGAAATTTATTGACAGATAGCCCTTCTTGCCTTGAGCTATGCTGTGAACTTGATTTGCCTTTGAGCTGAGTGTAATCGAACTCAAAGGTCCTCGGTTGGCAGATAGCTCTTCTCGACTTAAGCTATGCTGCAGGTGATGTGCCTTGGAGCTGAGCGTAGTCAAACTCGAAGGTCTTTGGTTAGCAGATAACCCTTCTCGAGTTAAGTTATGCTGCAAATGATATGCCTTAGAGCTGAGTGTAGTCGAACTCGAAGGTCTTTGGTTGGCAGATAGCCCTTCTCGACTTAAGTTATACTGCAAATGATGTGCGTTGAGCTGAGCGTAGTCGAACTCAAAGGTCTTTGGTGACAGATAACCCTTCTAGCCTTGAGTTATGTTGTAAATGATATGCCCTCGAAGCTGAGTGTAATCGAACTCGGGGGTCTTTGGCAGATAGCCCTTCTCTACTTAAGCTATGCTGCAAATGATGTACCGTTGAGCTGAGCATAGTCGAACTCAAAGGTCTTTTGTTGGCAGACAACCCTTCTAGACTTAAGTTGTGCTGCAAATGATATGCCTTGGAGCTGAGCGTAGTCGAACTCGAAGGTCTTTGGTTGGCAGATAACCCTTCTCGATTTAAGTTATGCTGCAAATGTTGTTTTTAAAAAAAAGGCTTCCCTTCACAGGTCTAAGTCGGTCATAGTTCTTCAGGTGGTTCCTCTGAGCGGGTCTGAACCAAGTGAGATGATTTGAATGACTCCCTTTTACAAGAAAGTCCACTGATAACTTCTGAAACCAGATATCTTCCATTGTGGAATTGAATCTGACTTGAAGACATTAACTGGAAATATGTTGTTCATTGTGAGTTGAGCTGAACTGGATTTGTTTAATTGGTTCTCGAGCCTATCTGAAATTACTTGATATCTGTAGATATGTCTAGTCGGCTGAGGTGTATCTTCTCACTGTTGAGTTAACAACCACCATCATTCTTTAAAAGCGCTTGCGGATCGAGTATCATTCATCCTGAAGTCGAAACTTGACTCATAAAGCTGCAAAAATCTTGTATGCTAAAATGATAAATGTGATGCACCTAGGTATGTCTAAGATGCATGCAACATGAATGAATTATGTTTTATCTCTTGGACTGGAGTCCCGTGTTTTGTCTGCCAATCTGGTCCATGAAATCGATCGTGCCCCATCTTTTTCAAGCTTGGGCTTTACAGACCCTTCATATCTGAGACTGTTCTGTTTGAAAATGTTTTTCTCATTCTTCTTGTTTTAGGAGGGAAATGATAAAAATGATGTAAAATATTGTTCGCAGTTGAATCAAATTGTAAACATGAGTTAAAGAACATCAAATGAATTAAGAGCTCTTTTAATGCTTTCAGATTTACAGCTCTTTGACAAATGTTCAAATGGATGAGTTGGCTTTAGGTTGACCTAAGGTTTCAGCCATAAAAAGGTTAGTTTTTTGTTATTGCAACGTGTTTTTTTTTGTTTGGCATTTTAATTGGGTGCGGACAAAATGACGCAACTAGCCTGATCAATTACTAGACTTTCTATTTCGGTCCTCTGAAATCTTTCATTTGTTCAAGCTTTGTAGGCTCTCTAACAAAGGCAGTGATAAAAAAATATCGGTCTAAGAATGAAATTCTTGAGTGCTCGTGTGTATTTGACTATAACAGGTGTTCCTTAACTCCCTTAGTCCATATTACCGAAATTTCTTTCTTAGATAAATTTGATTTAATTTGCCGTTATCTGGCTAGCTGAATCCATAAAGCCAGGGCATTTAACCAATTGCTTTAGAGGGAAAACTTAACATTATAATCAGGTTTAACTGAAGGGTTATCTCATCACAAAGTCTTCGGCCTGACAAAAGCAGAGCAAACCGAATTGCCAAGTGTCCGAGCAATGTCATGGTTTGATCGTAATCTATTCATAAGGCAGGGCTTTCAAGTTTCCTCTATAACCAATTGCCTTAGTGGAATAGCTCAGCTTTACGAATTTAATTTCTTAAGTTTGTCAAGAAGAACCTGTTATAGTCTAGGTTTTTTAAAGTCAAGGAATCTCATCTTTAGAGTTCAATTTCCAAGCAACTGACCTAAACTAGATTCACCTACTCAATTATTCCATCTGTGAAGATCGTTATCATCACTGAACGTCTTAAATAAAAAGTATAGTAATCTCATATACAAAAGGATGCCCATGTTGTCCGTACCTTATGAAAGAAAAAGGTTATATTGGTTAATTGTAAGAGCAGGGTACGGTGTTTGAGGGTATATTCTGGGTAAGGTCAAGGTCCTTGTTTTAAATCATGTTACTTTGTCAAATACCCGTAACTTTGAACCATTCACAGGTTTCTTAATTCAAATAGTATTCAAAGAATTGTAAGTTTGCAAATGTGATTCATTGCTCGTCATCATTAAAGTAACATAAATTTATTCAAATGTTCTTACAAAAACTTGGAAAAGTGGAAAAAAAACAAGTTCAAACAGAATGCCTCAAATGATGAAATGATCTTCCTCATGGATACCCCCAAGTTGTTGAAGTCGATCAGTTCTGGTTACGCATCTTCTGTACGACTCTTTTGAATGCATAACAGTTCTCAACTGTGTGCCCTAGGACTCCGCCGTGATATTCACAATGCGCATTCTCATATACCACTTGGGGTATGGGGGCTTCAAGGGTTCCACCGGGTATGGTGACCTACGTGGGTGTCAAGAAGTTGTTGGTAGAGTTCTTTGTATGTCATCGGAATAGGGTCAAATGTTTCCTTCCTTCCTGGGTTCTCTGGAATCTTGTTTAGAAGTACCTGACGGTACATCTGCAGTTGATTTCGGTTTGGAGATTGTAATACCTTTAGCATGGTGGATGTTGTTAATCTCTCCATCCTGCTCTCGTATAGGAGGTTTCCTATTGGCCTCCACATCCTTAATTTTTCTTTCTTTATGGCCGACTCGATCATTTTACGGCCATAACCAAGTCTGAAAAGCTTCCTGATGTGATCGCAACTAGGTGCCCGAAGTATGGAGCCTTCGGGTTGTACAAGAGGTTTCGGGTTTCCTTTTCATCCAACGGTGGATGAACTTGCACAGCCAAATCCCTCATTTTTGTGTTTTGCCTGAAACTCTCGTTATGCTTCTTTTCCATGCTTTGTAGCACAACTCGATCTGGCCTTATGTCATTGATATGCTTATATTGTTCCAGAAATGACTTGGCCAGGTCCTTCAGGTCTTGATATTTGATCGACTTAACTGGTTGTACCACCGAATGGCTGAGCCCGACAGACTCTCCTGGAAGCAGTGGATCAGAGTTGGTCATTTCCTCCATATCCTGTCATCTTTCGGCAAAACATGGTGATGTGAGCGAATGGACAACTATTCTCGTCAAACTTCTCGAATTCTGGAGACTTAAATTTCGGAGGATGAACCAAGTCCGGGACTAGACTGAGTTCCGCGGCATCGATTTCATGGTAGTCATGGTCTCCTTTAACTAACTTCATTTACTCCTCCAACTACTTGACTTTTTCCTCCATCTTCTTCGCTTTTTCATCTTCGTCCAAATCCAGTACATGGTAATAACCCGGATTGTTCTTAGGGTTAAATACAGAGGACGAGGGCTTCGCTTTTGCAGCAGATGAGTCCCCTCGAAGTTCTGGTAAGATTTCAGGTGAGATAACCACTTGCGGGGTAGGTTGTATAGTTACCCCTTCCAGTGAACCTGCCCCAGACGCACTGGTCTGTTGTAGGCCAACTAACTTGGCAACGATTTGATCAACCAAGGACTCTTGGTTTTTCATGATTGCATTCAGAGTACTCAGACTATTATGGTTTATCTTGTCTTCAAGTTCTTTCTGCAATTTTGCCATGTTCTCCTCGATTTTCTCCATTCTTGCTTTCATCTTCTTCTTTTTCAGGCGGGTGTTATGCAGATGGGGTGTGTCCAATGCTTGAGGTGGTGTATCCAGTATGTGTTCCTTTTGATGAGACATGTATATGTTAGTTAATGTGAATGCAAAGAAAATAACAAAATGCAAAATGCATGATGCATGATGCATGAAATGTCTGAGGCATTGATCCAAAAAATGTGCCTGTTATTCTGAATAACCCTTATTGGGGACAAAAGTGTTTTATATTTTAAGAGACAAAAATATTCTGACAGCTTCTGACATGTTGACTAGTCTTTCGCCTTCATCCGTCACCGGTTGAATAACCTGTCGAACCGCTCTGGCTTCTCTCCGGCATTTATCTTTTGTTGTGCCTGTTCCCAACGAAATACGTTATTGGAGCCCTTAATTATAGGAACTATGTGAAGTCCATTTGTCTATTTCTTGAATTCGTCAGCAATGGTCTCAATTTCAGTTATCGTTTTGCCATTTTGTATTTGAAGTGACTCTAAGATCAGTGGTCTTCATCTTGCCCCTGCAACTTCTGCCAGTCAGTTCTTCAAAGATAGACTTTCATTCTGCCTGATGTAGACCCGGTTCATTGAGTCCTTTATAATGCAGTATAGTGATATACTCTTCAATTGCAGGCACCACGTCTTCTGGATTAAACGTGACACATAGTCTCCTTGTAGATTGTCCTCTGCATTTTCATCTCTTGTATTACAACCCCTTTGTCCATTAATACAGATTATTCATGTTTAGCAAATACGTTTTTGGTAGATCAACACCTCTTTTAAATGATGCAAGTGATGAAAATAAAATGAAAGAGAAAAAAAAGAGTTAGTGAGGTAAAAATAGTCAAAAATAATCATGAAAAATAAAAGTTCTACCCCACATGATATCTACCCGAACATGCTTAATATTCCTACTCGGACATGATTTCTATCTCGTATGCTAATTTAAACAAATCCTAACGCATATTTGTCTAGTTCCCATGCTTTGAACAGAAAATAAAGCTGGAAACAAAATAGCCTAGGGTTTGGAATGAGGTTTTGGGGTGGGCTCTAATTCCATGTACTCTCCCGGTTTAGGTTCTAAAAAAAAGGTACTCGATTTCTCCTTGCCGGTGATCCCATGGGCTTGCCAAACCCTTAGTCCTAAGCCTATTACAATCTTATGTGGACTAAGTTAAACTCGAGAGGAAACATTCCCTTATGCCTATACGGAGAATAAATTCACACGAAGGCATAAGGTATATGAATCTCGAAGGTTACTTGCTAGGCCCATACGGTGAATAAATTCACACGAAGGCATCGCTTTCACCCCCACTTAAAAGGTTCGGAGCTCGGGTATAGAGCTAGAGATGACAATTTTGAAAAATCTGAAATCATTAAAAAACGTCAGTACAACTATTTACTTGAAAAAATAATCAAAGGTAAATAATTAGAATCGAATAAATAAATTTAAATTTAAATTTAAATTTATAACTTTCGCTAAAAAAGACAACCGAAAATTAATTTCAGCTTGACTTACTTACCTGTCCCCAGCGAGTCGCCAAGCTGTCGGAACCGTCTTTCGGTTGGGCCCCGGAATTGGGCTTCGACTTGGATTAAATGCTTTAGAGTCACCACCGACCACTTTAAAACGAATTTAGGTGGGTCGGACACCATCTTACCTGATCTGCGTTTTACCAGAAACGTGTCGAGTTCGGGAGTCGGTTACGGTCAATGAAGGATTAACACCCTTGAACGCCTTTCGTACCAATTAATTCGTCGGTCATCTTTAATTGCAAAATCTGAAAACTTAAATTAAAATTTAAATAACTGGTTCGAATTGCTTACCTTTGATCGATTGAGATTATTACTGAAAAAGAGATCGAAAATGTTAGAGGAAAAAAATGATGATAACAAACAATAAACAAGAAATAAAAATGAAGACAAAAAAACAGAAAAATAATAGAAAAAATAATAAGAAAAAATAAAAACGGAACAAGTAAAAAATGATAAATGAAAATTGAATGAAAAATAAATTAAAAAAAGAATAAAAAACCGATAATTTAAAGAAATAGTAAAGGAATCAAAAAATAGTTAAAGTTTTTAAAAAAAACATAAAAGAAAAAACAAGAATGATAAAATAAAACTTAGAGGATTAATTTGAAACGAATGGGAATTAATGGGTTAAATCGGCATTAAAAAATGATTTGCAAAATAAAAATCAAAAGTGAGGGGCCAATTCACAAAAATGTAAAAATATGAACCAGGATCAAATTGATTAGATTGAAAATTCTGAGGTCAAATTACAACTGGTGACCAGATTGAAATGCGATTCAAACTCTGAGGGACCTCGGAAGGAATTTAATTATCTTCTATTTGCAGAGTGGTCCCTCGTATATAAATGAGTTAAAAACCTCTTACTCACTCCATTCTTCACCATTTCCTCAGATATCTCCCCCTCTCTCTAAGGCTTTCTCTCTCGCCTCTCTCTTGAGATCTTGCCTGTGTAAAACTGGCCACCGCGCCGGCCACCGTCAGCGGTGGCCGAAATATCTAAACCCCACAAAATGCTCTCCTCCGCACCGTGAACCCAAAACCAACCTCTAAATCCCCAAAACACACCCCAGTAAGCGATGATCTAAGACCAAACCTTCGGCCCTTCACCTTTTCTGGCGACCTTTCGTTTTTCTTGATGTGCTCCTGACGCGTACTGTTTTTGTTGTTTTTTATGTGTGTATGTTAGGTATTCGGCTATTGTGGTTTGGTTTGCTCGGTTTTTGGTGTCTCGTGTATTTTGTTGATGAGGCTTTGGTATTGTTTTTTGTTTGCTCTGTTGAACGATGGTTTTTTTGTGGTGGTTGGTACTGTGATGGTGGTTGATGGTTCGAATCCTTTGTGGGTTCTCTGTGTTTATGCTTCGGTGATGTTCTGTTGTTGTTGGCTTGTGTTCTCCGATGGCTCACTTTTGTGTTTTTTTCCCCTCGTCCGGTTGTGGCCATCGTTTTTTATAGCTTGGCTCTGGCCGTTTCTAGCCCTGAGATGAATGGGTTGTTCCGAGATCTTCGGGAACGTCCTGGGTTGTTGCTTGACCGAGTTCCTCGGGATGGTTCAGTCCCGGGGATGTCGGTCGGAAACTGTTTCGTGCTTTGACCCTTGGTTGCCCCCTCGTGCGGCGCCTGTGTTGTTCTTGTTTTAGGGTTCCCAAAACCCTAAATCTGACAGGCTGGATTAGGCTTACTGTTCTGGACCGAACTGTAACCGTATTGGACCCAAAGCAAATCTTGGACTTGAACCCTGCAAAAAACATAAATAATAATTATAAGAAATAAAATAAAATAATAAAAAATAATAATACTATATTATATATATAAATATTTTCAAAAACATATAATATATAAATTTCCGAAATGTTTTTTTAAAAACTATATTTACGTATTTTCAAAAACGTTTTAAAAACTATATAAATATATATTTTCAAAAATGTCTTTAAAACTATATATTACATATATTTCAAAACGTTTTTTAAAAACTATATAATATATAAATGTTTTCAAAACTATATATTATATAGTTTTCAAAATGTTTAAACTATATATATATTTTTTAAAAAATAAATATTAATATATATATATATATATATATATGTATAAAAATATGGATGAAAATGAGTGTCTACATTTTAAACTCATTTTTTCTGTTAAAAAATTAACGGTCGTCTGAACTGAACATTAATATCCTGAATGAGATATGATGGTCGTTTGAGATTATGATACATATTTTATCATATCTTAGTCGGCAAGTTAACATCCAACTCAAATTATCGTTAATTTTTTAACGGAAAAGGACTAGTTTGAAACATAATGAATAGTCAGGTAATCATTTTGTAACTTTTAATAGTCAAATGACTCAATAAAGCAGCTTCCTATAATCGAGAATCATTTTGTAACTTTTAATAGTCGAGAAACTCAACAAAGCAATATCATATAGTCAGGGGACCATTTGTGTACTTTACCCTATAAAAAATAAAAAAAATATTAAAAACTTAATATTAAATATACATTATGAATTAATAAAATATCAAATTAATCAATAAATTTGTTTAAAAATATATTGCAATTAAAATATATAAAACTTTTAGAAAATTATTATTTTTTTTATTAAAAAGCTTCTAACATCTTACCATATTATATAGTTTATTTTAAAAAGTATAATTTTTACAGAGATTATTTTCTTATATTTTCACTTTCACTGTAGGGTTCGAAATTTAGTAATTTGATAAATGGGTAACACATTTAATTACTTAGATTTAGTTTCAAAGTTAAATTTGATAAAAAAAATTGTTTAATTAGATATTTGAATGTCTTTTTTATTCAAGTTAGTTTATCCAAACTCGATTTAACTGTTAAAGTTCGTTCAAATAAGTCATTTGTCTTAAGTACTTGAATAAAAGTACCTAATAAAACCCAAAAAACTTAATTAGACCTCAAAAAAATTTTGATCAATCTGAGGTGAATACAAGGTAGTATATATTCAAAAATTCCCAATCATTTGACAATGAACTCTCATACCCTTAACATATGTGTTGCTCGAACCTGAGTCCTCAAGAGATAATAACAAATCTCTTAATTACTAAGATCGTCTGGTTCGTGCAAAACCAAAAAAAAACTTAAATAAAATATCAAAATGTATGTTTTCCCTTTCTTAAAAAGTGGTTTTGTTTTATAATTTTATTCGGTTGTCCCCTTTTCGCACGAATTAAATTACTTTAGTAATTAGATAAATTGTTGTTATCCTTAGAGAATCTAGGTTTGAGCCCCAGTGTTTACAAAGGTGTTTGAACGTTTATTGTCAAATGATTTAAATTTTTTAGAACAAATTATCTTATAATCACCTCACCAATTTAATAAAAAAAATTATCCCCATTTCAAGTGATGGATGAATTGCCAACTCAATAATGAATTTGGATAAAATTGGAACTTCATTCAAAGGCATGTGGAAAGCCCAAGGAAATATATAAATGGACAAATGTTTAAAATTAGCATCACCAGTTAATTTGTAATATTTCAAATTACGTTTGTGTTACATATTATTATTATTATTATTATTATTGTATTTCCATGTAGAGTATTATCTATTTGTTTCTCTCAAGTCATGATTTATAATATATTTTTATTAATTAATTATTGTAATTCAATTTAAAGAGAAAATATATGCTTATATTAGTTATTATTTTTTCACGTGAAAAATATTTTGAATTTATTTAACTTTCTACATGTTACAAATAATCTTACATATACTTTTAACTCTTATTATCATATTATTATTTTTGACAGTTTAATTATTTTTAATGTTACTTTCTTGCTTTTATTTATTTCATAATTTGTAACCCTAAATGTAATTAATTAATTAATTAAGACCAATGCTAAATTACTTAACACATGCGCAAATTTGAACACCAGGAATGCCAAGAGTATGAGTGTACAATGTCAAACAGTTAAGTGTTATTTGAACAGATACTACCTTGCACTAACTCAAGATTAATAAAATTAAATAAAAAAAAACTTGCTTGACACATATTACAACATCTACAAAACAAAATCATCTCTCCACTTATATCCAAAAATAACCAATACAACTTTGCTAGAATGGTAACACCGCATTTCAAATGGAAAAACAAACATAATAATTTGTTCTTACTGAGCTTTCCATAATTAGGAACATTCAAAACAATAACATTTAACTATGCTATTCAAAATTCTGAGCCATTTGACACGGCACAAGACTCTTGATATGGCAGATAAATACCAAGATGAGAATAGAACGGGAATCACTCTTCCATGGGCTGATTCTCCTCTGTCTGTGCTTGGGACACATTGACTTTGATTTTTGGAAGACGAAGAGATGAGTCTTGTGCAAGAGCCAGTGGAGCTTTGACCAAGTGAATGCACTGCTCCAATTGCTTCCTTGCTTCTTTCTGCCTTTGGACTTTGCCCGTCTTAAATCTGGAAAAGGATTCAGAATGGATTGGTTATTTAGCAAAGTGCATGCTACAACACTTTCAAAGGGAAACAGAAGTGCAGTCCTACCTGTTTTTGATGTGGTCAGATGCCCTGTCTGATCTGATTTTATCGATCTTTTTGATGGCCTTAAGAGTATTCTCTGCAAGGTTTCTATCATATCTCTCCGGCCTATTACGTTTCCTCTCAAACTCAAATGTTGAATCCTGGTTAAAAAGGAAAGAAACAGATATCAGCATTCAGTGTTTTGGTCTAAGCATTGTACTAATGCAATAGCAGGTACCGATATTGATGGCTTGATGCCATAGGCCTATCACCTGTGTCATGTCCTTTCCATGCAAACGCCTATAGGCCTTGGTCCATTTTACTTTACGAGGATTCCTTTTCATCTTGAAGTTCTTGTGGCATTTGGATCTGCAGAAACGGAAAACCTGCAAAAGTTTGGACTATCAGAAACTAAAAGCAGTCCAAACAGAAAGAATGAATTTGTGTACGGAACATAGTACTATAAATTATTTTAGTTGTTGCCTTTAATCTGTCACAACATTCACAAAGCTAAAGTTTGCTGAAAACTGCATATATCTCCACAATCGTATACATATAGTAGCAGACATCATATGTTAGGCTGGAGGCATACACACACTGCAGCAAGTGTAACTAAAACTGAATAAGACAGAAAGGTAACCTTCCCCAGTGTCAACAAACTAAATAAAAGCCGATTCCATAGCATCATATCGCGTGTAGCATTATTAGCCGATATGGATATGAAATAAATAGAGGCAAAGCAATAAACTTCGAATATGAATGTAAAACAAAGAGACAAACTCTTACCTTGGCATCATTGCGAACAAATTGAATACCATGCCCCGGATATACAGTCGAGGAACAAAACCAGCACTTCTCTAATCTCATCTTGTTCTCAAATTAACTAAAGATGCAATTTCCAAAGCAGAAAATAACAATAGCAGTCATTACATGAAGAGAACAGAAAATAGCAACAGCAACATCAGAAATCATTGAATGAAGAGAATAATCAACAATAGCTAGGGTGTATCCTCTAATCTCATCTTGTTCTCAATTTAATTCGTAAAAAACATAATCCTAAACGAAAAATAATAATAGCAATATCAGATATCATTAAATAAAGAGACTAATTAGCAATAGTAAAGGGGGGAATCGCACTTTCGTGCCTTGAATTCTTCAGTTTTTCAAGTTTAATAAAAAAAGTTAATAATAAACCCTAGACCTAAACCTAATAAGCAATAGTTAAGGGGTTACGCCGTCCCTATTTCACGGCACCGACCTCAATACAGGGGTGAAATAGTTTCACGTCAATAGCAGCCAATGGAAGGCGCAAATGACAGAGCTTCCGAAAATAGAGGCGATACCAATAGCTTTACAAAATCTCCTCTATCGACAAAGTAAACAGAAAGAGACAGAACCCAGATAACTCAAAATCTCGCGAATCAAGTATGAAAAACAAATCTTCACGTTAAGATTTGGGTTCAAACATTACCTTATTTAATTTCCTGGTCGGTAAACAAGAGAGGGCTTGGATGAGGGACTGAAGAAGGAGGAGAGGCTTGCTTGGCGGCGGAGATGTTTAGAGAGAATTAGAGTAGGTCGAGAAATTTTAAGGGGTTTCTTTATATATATATATATAGAGTAAACTACATATTTAGTATATAAACTATCAGTTTTAATTAGATTTATACTTAAATTTTTAAATTTTTCAAAACCATACTTAACGTTTAGTTTTTGTTTCATTTTAGTACGCTGTCGTTAAAAACTTAACGAAATGGTTGATAGTGCATAGCTTCGGTGGACGGACGACCAATCTGAATGGTCAACCGTGAGAGAATAACGAACCGACCAACATAGTCAAGTTTTAGACCCATCGTACGGTTGACGACTGAGATCGGAAGATGAAGAAGTCAAAGAGTTCATTATCGATTTGGGGAGACTAAGGCATTTTCTGTTGAAACGAAGGTCAAAATCATGTTCAAGGGTTGAAAAGGTGTGGGATGAAAAATTTGGGCTTCATCGGTTAACAGATGTGATGGTTGGCGACTGTAGGCACGATGGTTGGCAAACCAGTCCGTTAAGTTTTTAACGGTAGGGTACTAAAATGAAACAAAAATTAAACGTTAGGTATGATTTTTTAAAAAAATTAAAAGTTTAGGTGCTACAATGGACCAAAACTAATAGTTTATGTATTAAACGCGTAATTTGCCATAATATAGAAAAAATATAGGCAAAATGATACCTAGGCACTTGTAATTTTCAAAAGAAAAAAATTGATGTGACATCCGAATTATTTTTTCACTCAATGTAGCTCTTAGAAAAAGAACTCAACGTGGCCTTTTGACCAACGATTTTTATCGTTGATTATTACAGTACTGACATGGCATTTCACGATGTTGATGTGATAGTCTATGATGCTGACGTGGCGGTCCACAGTGATTAGTGGCATGCCTGATGATGTGGTTGATGGGTTAAATTTGCTATTTTATTGAGTTCTATTGTCATATTGATTTTTTAAAAAAAGTTTAAGAAATTATTTGATTTTAAAAAAAATATTTAAAATTTACAATATAAAAATTAAATATAAAAATACAAAAAAATAAAAATAAAAATTAAATATTTTAAAAAATTAAGAAGTACATATACATAATGATTGAAAATGTTATTGTTAAATGATTTAATTAGAGACGAATTTTAATTTTAATTTGAGTTTTATTTTATTTTATTTAATAATGTAATTATATTGTTATATTCGTACATATTAATTCTAGTGTGAGATCTGTTTTATTTTATTTTGTAGGGATGAACTTGTTATTAATTATTTTTTTAGATTAAGTTTAGGTAAAATTTATTTCCCTCTATAATGTTTTATTCATTAAAATGCTCTTTTTAATAGCACAATTATTTATATATTTTTTAAATTATATAGTTCCATGATAATGTATAAATAAATTTTAACTTCATAACTTTTAAATTTTATTTTATAAGAATAATATTTATGTAATTTTTTAAAAAAAATAATTAAATAGAATTAATAAGACATTTGGAATTTAATTAGAGATAAATATATAAAATAAAATTTGTGCAGGATGAACGGATTTATATTTATATAAATAAAAGTCGGGTTAAATTCGAGGTAGAAAATAATATATATTTTTAACTTTTTTGACAATTTAATTTATCTTTGGTATTTTATTATATGTATTTTTAAAATATTTTTATATTTTTATATTTTAAATTTTAAACATTTTAATATTTTAAATTTTAAACATTTTTATTTAAAAAATCAAATAAACCTCTGAACTAAAAAAACAATTTAACCCTCAAATTCAATTTACAAAATCAATTTAACTCATTTACCATGTCATTAGTCATGTCACTACACCAATCATCATGGATCCTATGTCAACACTATAGATTGTCACATCAGTATCGTAAAATGCTACCTCATCATCATAACCAATTTTGCATTTTATTTGCTCCCTGAATTACTTTGGTGTTTACTACCGTTTTTATGATATTGTGTTTTTTATCATAACCAAGTCGAAGAGTTGTTTATCTATCAATCCATTAAATTTGTATTTTATAAACTTGACTCGTCAATTTGAATAACTCATATTTAAATAAATAAAACTCTTCAACTCGAATACATCAAATTTTTTTTAACTTGACTCGATTTGATTGAATGCAGACTTTAGTTGGGCTGCCGTGATCTTCAATGGATTTTGTGACACTAATTTGATTTTTTTTCTTTTCTTGTATTTTTATTATTTTTCTTGTAATCTAAAAAATACATTATTATTGTTATTATTATTATTATTTTAATAATTATATCATCCCAAGAAAAACTCAATTTCGACATGGCCGAAACGTAATTAAAAAAGGCCAACAAAGGCCCAATTAGAACCCAAACTTGTAATTCGTTATATGAGCCCAATCATGGAAAAGATCCAACTCGGTTAGATCTGATTCGAACTTTAATGAACATTTATACACTCTTGCATACGTGATGCTCAAACTCAAAATCTCAGAGAATAACAACAATCCATTAACCACTGGCGTCGCTTGGTCCGAGATAAAAAATGATTAATTTAAATTATTATAATACGATTTTTATTTAAAAGATAATATGATTTTAGGATAAAAAAATTAAATTAGTGATTGATTGAACACATCTTAACCCTTCATTTAAAATTGAAAAAAAAAATAAATGATTTTTTATATTTATTACCAAATGTATAAATAACTAAAATTTAATTCTAAAAACTGGTAAGCAGCTTGATATCGCTTAAATAAAGTCTCAAGTTCAAGTCATTATGTAGCAAAAAATCTTTGTTGGGAGACTCATCCACATAAGTCAGGTGTGCAACATAGGTTAGTCCGTATTAATCAATGTGAAGTCTTGGGACCGGAAGGACAACAAAAAATAATTTTAAAAAAGTAAATTGTTATGAGTTATAAAACAAACCCTAAACTTGAAGCAAAAAGGAGGAAAGTTTAATTAGGTTAAAATCCGGTTAGTTTGCATTGTAATCCATTAACTTTCTTTGCTTTGAAATTAAACGATAAGGACAACAACATCTAAAAGGCACAATATTATTATTTTATTTTCAAAATCATGCCTAACGTTATATTTCGATTTCATTTGGTCACTCGTAGTTAAAAAAAAGAACTACTA